CCATAAACTGAATCTGCAATTGTAAAAGGAGCTTCAATATATTCATATGCTTGTAAAATAGTAAAGTAGATACCTAATAGTACTGTAAAAAGTAATCCTTGTGCAGCTTGTGAATGATTTCCTTCTATTAAACTATGATGTGCTCATGTAACAGTTACTCCTGAAGCTAAAAGAATTGCTGTATTTAGTTAAGGGATTTGAAATGGATAAATGGTTTAATTCCTATAGGTGGTCATGATGTTCCTAGTTCAATAGCAGGTGATAATCTTCTATGGAAAAAAGCTAAAAAAAAAGATAAAAAATAATACTTCACATAAAATAAATAAAATTATTCCTCATCGGAGACCTAGAGTAACAGAGATAGTATGTAATCCTTGAAATGTACCTTCACGTGATACATCCCGTCATCATTGATAAACAGTTAAGATAGTAATAATATTTCCTTATACAAATAATGAAATATCATATTGATGGAATCATTTTACTAAACCTGAAACTGAAGTTATAGCACCAATAGCTCCTGTTAAAGGTCATGGACTATAATCTACTAAGTGGAAGGGGTGATTAGCGTGTGTTGACATTAATTAACTTCTCTAGAGTATAGTGTTCTTAATACTGCAAATACATATGATTGGATAATTGCTACTGCTGACTCAAGAATTAATAAAGCAATTTGACCAATTAAAAGTAAAGACACAATTACATATGAAAGTGAAGGACTTGTATTTCCTAATAATGTTAGTAATAAATGACCTGCAATTATATTAGCTGGACGAATTACGTTACTAATTGTTTCAATACAAACTATAAAAGGTATTAAAATTGCAGGAGTTCCTTGTGGAACTAAATGAGCAGATATATGTTGGGTATTATTTATTCATCCATAAATTATAGAACATAATCATAAAGGTAATGCTAAAGTTAAAGTTAATGTTAAATGACTTGTTCTTGTAAAAATTTGAAGGAATAATCCTATAAAATTAATGAAAATAATGATAAAAGTTGATCCTGAATGACTTGATGGTCCTAGCAATGTTTTGAATTCTTTATGTAGTGCTAATAAAACTGAATTTCAGAATACATGATAACGTGAGGGTATAAGTCGATATACTGATGGAATTATTAATACTCCTAAAAATGTTCTTATTCAATTTAATGATAAATTAAAAATTCTTGATGAATGGTCAAATACTGAAAATAGGTTAGTTGTCATTTTCAATTTAATGATTTAGTTGATTTTTGGTGAAATCTGAGATTTAGGGGATTTAGGAATTATTGAGTAATAATTTATTACTCTAAATAAAATAAAAGTAATTGAAAAAATAATAAATAAGCCTAATCAACCAATAGGGGCTATTTGTGGGATTAAAAAATATTGAATATTTTAATAATTTTAGTTTGACATACTAATGTTATATTTTAACTAATTTTTTCATTAGAAGTAAGTGCTAATTTACTATTAAGTGGTTTAAGAGACCAATACTTGCTTTCAGTAATCTAATGATTAATTTACTCTATTCATTTAATAAAGAGATTAATAGGAATACTTTCAATTACAATTGGTATAAAACTGTGATTAGCGCCACAGATTTCAGAACATTGTCCATAAAATAAACCTGGTCGATTTATTAAAAAATTAGTTTGGTTTAAACGACCAGGAGCTCCATCAACATTTACATCTAAAGAAGGAACTGTTCAAGAGTGGATTACATCTGCTGCAGTTACTAAGATTCGAATTTGAGAATTTATAGGTAAAATTACTCGAATTTATAGGTAAAATTACTCGATGTCAGCATTGAAATCCAACGTAGACACACTTTTGCCAACAAGTGCTACTTTGGACTGAGTAGGCAATTCAGGAGTAAAGTCCTCTCTCGACGTACGAAAACCGCGCTCTATAAGTCACTCATCATGCCCGTGCTGGTATATGGCGCAGAAGCATGGACAATGACAACATCCGATGAGGCGGCTCTTGGAGTGTTTGAGAGAAAGATTTTGCGGAAGACGGCGAGTACCGAAGACGATGGAACGATGAGCTGTATGAGCTTTACGACGATATGGACATCGTGCAGCGAATTAAAATACAGCGGCTCCGCTGGCTTGGCCATGTCGTTCGAATGGACACCGACGCTCCAGCTCTGAAAGTATTCAACTCGGAACCCGCTGGTGGTAGCAGAGGAAGAGGGAGGCCCCCACTGCGATGGAAAGATCAGGTGGAGAAGGACTTGGCTTCACTTGGCGTTTCCAATTGGCGTCAGTTGGCACAGAAGAGAAATGACTGGCGTGCTTTGCTGAACTCGGCCAAAATCGCTTAGGCGCCAAAAAAGAAGAAGAAGAAGAATAATCGAAATCCATCTGTAGTTAATTCATTCATGGGATTATATAAGAATCGAATTCTACATTTATAAAATTACCTATTAATTAATTAAATATTTATATACATATATTAATCTATTTATAATAGGAATATATATATTAAATATTTATATGTATATATATAATATATATAAAAGTTATTTCTCAATAAAAAATATACTAATATGTCGTTATCAGTATATCTAGTATTTATAAAAACAATATTTATTAAAAATACATGCAGGCACTAATTATTAAATATACTTAAAACCCTCTTCATTTCTATATATTTACTAATTTATAATATATTGATATATATAAATAAATATTTGATATAAGATATTTATATAGATAAACAATTAAATATTTATATTTATATATATATAGAAATAAATATTTATATGTATATATATATATACATATAATATAAATATATTTATATTTATATATATAAATATAGATAGACAATTTAAAAATTTAAATTTTAATATTTGTATAAATAAAAAAAATTTCAATTAATATTAACCTATAAATTTAATAAAATTGAAAAAAATATAAATTTATTAAATTAAAATAAATATTTTTTTTAAATTTAATAAAATTAAAAAATATATATAAATTTAACAAACTAGAATAAATATTTTTTTAAATTTAATAAAATTAAAAAAATAAAATAAATTTTATAAATTTAATAAATTAAAATAAATTATTTTATTAAATTTATAAAATTAGTTTAATTACTAATTGATTTTATTTAAATATAAATTAATTTTTATACCATTACTAAATTTTTGATATTAAAAAAAATATTATAGATTATAATTTATTAGTAGTTATTTACTAGTAAATGTAAATAATAAAATAATTTTTATTTAAAAAAGATAGTTTTACTATTTGTTTTTGTTAGTATAAATATATATGATGAGATATGATGATCTGTTTATTTGTAGGGAGGAATTACTAATTGATTTTATTTAAATATAAATAAATTTTTATGCAATATTACTAAAGTTTTATTATTTAAATAAAATAATATTATAGATTATAATTTCTTTATTAATAAATATAAATAATAAAATAATTGTTATTTAAAAAAGATAGTTTTATTATTTGTTTTTATTAGTATAAATAAATATGATAGGGGGTCTGTTTATTTGTAGGGAGGAATTACTAATTGATTTCATTTAAATATAAATTAATTTATATACAGTGTTACTTAAATTTTATTATTATAAATATTTATTAAATTTTATGTTTAAATAAATTTTATATAATATTAAAGTTTTATTTTAGCTTAAAATTTTATTATTGATTTGTTTTATATGTAAGTTTTTGCATGATTTTCATTTATTTAAATAATAAATAAATTTTTTATAGTCTCAGTAATTAGTTTTATTAATCAAAGAAATTTGTAAATTGTAATTTCATATAGTATTGGCTAAGTTTGTGCCAGCAGCCGCGGTTATACAAATAATACAAATAAAATTAGTTCAGTGTAAGTTAAATTTAATGTTAATAAAATAATTATAAATTTATTTGGTGAAATTTTAAATTTATAAATTTTTATTTTAGATAAATTAAAGCTTATTCTTAAGATAAGATAAGTCGTAACATAGTAGATGTACCGGAAGGTGTATCTAGAACGACAATTTAAAGCTTATTAGTAAAGTATTTCATTTACATTGAAAAGATTCTTGTGCAAATCAATATAAATTGATTAATATTTATTTGTTAATTTATATTTATTTTATTTATAATTTATTAAAAATAATTATATAATTTAATGTTTTAGTAATCTGTAATGAAAAAATAACATTAATGATAGTTTATTAAGTATTGTGAAAGATAACTGAAATAATTTGAAGAATTATTATTTTAAAAGAAAATTTTATTTATTGTACCTTGTGTATCTCGATTTTATAAGAGTTAATTATTTATTAAAGTTAATGTGTCAAAATTATTTTAAATAAATAATTAGAAATGAAATGTTATTCGTTTATAAAGGTATCTAGTTTTTTTAGAAATAAATTTAATTTACAAGTTTTTAATTTTTTGTTTATTTATTAAAATAATAAAATTATTAATTTGAATATTTTAGGGGATAAGCTTTAAAAGAAATTATTAAAAATTAGTAATTTTAATATAAAATGTATGAGTAGAATTTTCAATCATTTATAAATGTGTTATAAATTATTTTATAATTTACATTATTTACTATTATTTTAAGTTTTTATAAAAATTTTTTCATACATTTTTTATGAAAATTAATAATGATAAAATTAGTATATTTTTATATTGTATATATATAATTTTATTTGATAAGTTTATATAAAGAACTCGGCAAATTTATATACTCGCCTGTTTAACAAAAACATGTATTTTTGAGTTATTTTTAAAGTCTGACCTGCCCACTGAATAATTTTGAATGGCCGCAGTATTTTAACTGTGCAAAGGTAGCATAATCATTAGTCTTTTAATTGGAGGCTGGTATGAATGGTTGGACGAAGTATAATCTGTTTCATATAAATTATTATAGAATTTTATATTTTAGATAAAAAGCTAAAATTTAATTAAAATACGAGAAGACCCTATAAATCTTTATATTTAATATTTTAATTTTTGGGATATATTTTATTTTAATACTATTAGTTATTTTGTTGGGGTGATGTTAAAATTTAATGAACTTTTAATTATTAAAAATTATTAATTTATGATTTATTGATCCGTTAATAACGATTATAAGATTAAGCTACTTTAGGGATAACAGCGTAATTTTTTTGGAGAGTTGTATGTATGTATGTATGTTTATTCATTATTTTCTTAATTCATAAAAATGTACAATAAAACAAATACATAATCTTAAAATAACAAATTCAGTAAGAAAATAGTTAATGACATAGTATGCTACAATAAAGAGCAGTGGAAATGTCATTTCATAATTGTTACATTAGTGGGGGGGCAGAAGTAGAAATCAAAATGTAGTTAGTTGCGAATATGATTAGTAAAGTTAAAAATTATTAAATTAAATATATGAATACAAATTTATTCATAAAAATTTAGGCAAAGCATTCAAAGCAATTTCAGAACCTACATCAAAATGTATTATGTTAAACCTTCAGCGGTAATGCATTACTTATACACTAAGGCCCACTTGCACAACGCCGAGTCATCTCCTTAACTAAGTTAATTTGATAAGTTGTCAAAAACGTATGGATTTAACCCCCCATTTGACGTTAGCTCTGAGTTAAAAATATAAATTTTCGTTGTGCAAGTCAGCCTAAATAATAGGTCGCAGCAAAACTTCGATACCTTCATGATTGAAGCCAAAAAAGCCATATTTTCACCTCTTTGAGGAACACTGAAAGCGATCTAATAAGCTGTATATCGTCGGGTAATTTGAGAAATAATTTACAAGACACTGTGACGTAGAAGTTTCGAAAGAGTGTGGTGCGAAAGCTCGGAATTGCTATGTGAAATAACGATCTACTTCTCAGATTGTATGGATTGTATATAGGACTTTGAGTATATCCGCTCCTCATGAAAAAAATTTTCAAAACTTTAAAGTAGTACAAATGACGCAAAGGAAGAATATTTAACTTTTTGAAGAGATCCATGGAATGTGTCATGCGCCCAACGCTACATATTCTTCGAATAAGACACTTCTGCATGACTAAAGCGGACGAACCTTATTAGCGTATGCACCACCCCAGCAACTGATTCCGTATTGTAATTTAGAGTGGATTAACCCATGGTATACCATTATCAATAATTTGTTGGAGCACAGTTTTTTCAAATTATAGAAGGAACGTACGGCTGATAGAAGGTAAAGCTTCATAACCGAAATATGCGAAGACCAACTTAGGCTTTGGTCTATTATAACTCCTAAATACATAAAGTCAGGAACAACTTCGATGTTAAAGCAATTATTGTTGCAGTTAATACAGCATTTTGCTGAGTGCAATTATTAGAGCATAATATATATCGCATACAGTTCGAGGCATGAAAAGTAAATGCGTCATTTGGTATGTCTTTGTTACCAAGACTAAAATACATTAACTTCGTTT